CGAGATTAGCTGTTAAAATACAGCCGCGGGTGTCTTGTTCAACTCTATTGACGAGGTAATTTGCAGCAGAGAAGACGTCATTTCTAAGTAGGGCAAATGTGGCGGATAAGCTAGCCGTTATCTTCTGTAGGCAGTGTATAACTGATAACTTATTCGCCAACAAACTCAGTACATAAGTGAGGCCATGGAGCCTGCACGTTCATACAACAGAAAAAGCAAATTAAACTTCACTTCGTGACTTCGCTGCTTCATCATGGACGAGAAATATAAAGACAATACGCAGTTAGCTTGGCCACAATAGAACGAACATAGTCTTGACGCTGAAAGTCTATTACGTAATTTACTGAACCTGGTACTAGTAAATTTATTTTACCATATTATTGTTCCATGCCTAGCAAACTCTATACATGTATGTCTTGAATTCGTTATTCTGCTTCACCATGCTGGTTTTTTACTACCACATGACTGGTAACTACACTTTTCACCTCCCCTGTCTTATATCGAACTCATTTATCTCTTGTGCCGTCGACTGTTATACACGTTTGCGGAGTAGAAAAAAAAATCGTTGACTAGAGAAAACTCCCACGAACTAGGGTCCCTTTCACATTCGCCAGAGACGACTCGATGGCAAGAACCACCATAATAGTAATTCACATCCTCATCAATGTTACTTCAGGCTGTGTGGTGCGTTTACAAGGCTAGCGTCCTTGTTAATAATGCTACCCGCCGTGGTCGCGTAGTGGCTGTGACGCGAGACTACTCACTTCAACAGTCTCGGGATCAAGTACCCACCGTGGTGGCCGCATTCTAACTAAGGAATAATGGAAGCCCGTGTGCTTAATTTTATGCGCACACTAAAGGACCCCAGGTGGCCGAAATATTCGGAGTTCTCTACTACGTCACCATTCTTAATCATATCGCGATTTTGGCACGCTTAATCCCAAGGGATCAATTATTAGTTTTTGTTGATTGTGATGATAAAAAAAAGGTCAGCTCTTTTCCATTGTTCGCATTCAGATTTCAACCACTCCCTTGTTACGCTGTTTACTCGGTTACACGTCGCAACTTGAATGAAACAGAGCGTGAGAATTTGTGAGCACTTGGTTCGGGGCAAGGATTGAAATATTTGCTTATCCACTCAAACAAAGACGAGCCTTGTGCTTTCTTTTTTTGTATAGCGCATTCTAGAATACGCGAAAACGCTGGTTATGAGGTTAGTAGCAACGATCATTCATAATCCCCTCCCCCCCTCACACACACTTAATAGAGATAACGACAGCAATGTGATGTCCCAGCAAAATACATTGCCAGTACCTTGCCATATCTTCTTAAACACGTCATTTCCGCAAGTGCAACCACTGAGTAGATGCACGGCCACTGGGTGAATCTATAAGAACGATTTAAAATTGTTACCGATGAAAAAGTAACCTAACCGTATTCTTATTACGTTGCAGGCCAACGAAGATTCGGTGGCCTTTGATCTTGGCTATAATGAAGCCCGAAATAGGCATAATTGGTTCCGTCTATATGAAGTTTTTAAGGAGCACTCAAATCAGCGTGTTCAAATTTTTGCTTTCTGGTGGTTTTAGGTGTGTTGTAGCGGTTGTTATTGCGAAGTTGTTTTATTTGTAACGACTACTCACCCCACCGCGACATAAACTTTAAAATAAAGAAACTCCGTTTGTACCGTCTCTTCAATATTAGCGCTGTTTCAGAGTGCTGTGTGTCATTTTGTCGTCAAAGCACAAAAGTGTTTTGCAGCATTCCTGAGAGGCTGACACATGCACGTAGTCCCGAGGCGATGTGTGTCGTTTATCTCTGTCTATTTTTTGTTTGCTGGTAGGTCTGAGTTTTCTACTGCGATATCTTGTGGCCTTGGTGCGTCTTACGTACCTGCTGCGAAGAAAGCCGCTGCGATTTGTTTACTTGGAACCAGAGAAGTACAATGACGTTATAAACAGCGGAGCCGTCTGTACACCAGTAGAGTGGTGCAAGGAATGCCCACAGCAAAGACCACACTTGGACAAGGCAAGTGGGCTTCTAGCCTCTACTAAAGAAGCTTCTTGACGCATATCAATTGCAATTGGTTCAGAAACATCTGGTTTGGGTATTTTTTGGTGTATTCATGAGTGCAGCTGCATTAACATGAAAATTATGTGCACCCAAAATTATTAAACGGTGGATATGGGCCCTGGTAGCACAAAGACGTTGCCGGTGTAGTAAGACCTGTACGCACGAACCTACCTTATCGTTTTCTCTCCTTTTCCTTATCATTGTAGTGCGCCTAATGAGCATTACGCGCTTAAAAGCAGTACGCAGGGTAAAAGATAACTGAGTTTGGCTTAGGATTGTTGCCCTGATATAGTCTTATGAAGCACATTACTGCAACTGAAACAATGGGTAAACCGAGTGATACATATCAGGTGAGTTTTTGAATGCATATATATATATATATATATATATATATATATATATATATATATATATATATATATATATATATATATATATTTATATATATATATATATATATACTCGATGCACGCACTCAAGTGTGGGCATCTGATGCTGTTTCTATCCTTTCACCCCATGCAGGGTAGGGAACCGAGAATGTTAATTTGTTTAACGTCTCTACTTTTGTGGCTTTTTTCTCACTCTGCCAATGTTTTTTCTGTTCAAATGTGTGTATTATTACTATCCCACACAAGAATGTCGTTGTATGAAAATCGAACTCTTAACCGACTTAGATGTTGAATTTACAGTAGTGAAAGTGAGTACTTTTGTATGGGTAGTTACAACATTCCCTTTCAGGCAGTAGTTGTAATACAAAAGCTCAAAAAATAACAGTTCCTGTAAGTTACGCTATCCGTGGATTCAATCTGCGGACTGAGGGTGCGTGGTCAGCCGATACTCATCAGCTCATAAGACGGGTAGCGTTTGTGAGTGTGCATTCTGGCTAAAGTGCGTCAGCACTGACCTAGTGGATTGCCATTGATAACAACAGTCCTTATCAACCACACAGCCTGTACAGGTGGCCGAGAAAGTGCTCACAAACACCGTTTTTGATAAGTGTGGTGTGTTGGGGAGGTTGGTAAAGATTGCACAACTTCGAATGTGAAGTGCGAAATACACTGATACAAAGAATAGAGACGTGCGCAGCACAAGCGTTATACATGCATCTGCTTTTTCCGCTGAACGCGTTCGAAGCTATGCGTCGTTTTTTTTTGTGAAAACTTGCCTTAAAATTACGACAAGAGAAGACGCCATCTCCCCGTTGACTGTTGGGTGTTTGTACCCGATGATAGAGTTAATCGAACATGTAGTTATTGGCATAGCAGTCCTTCCTTTATTCCTTTCTTTATTCTTTCCTTTTCTTTCTTTCTTCCTTTCTTTCTTTCTTTCTTTCTTTCTTTCTTTCTTTCTTTCTTTCTTTGTTTCTTTCTTTCTTTCTCTCTTTCTTTCTTTCTTTTTTTGAGTTTACTGATGTGAGGGCCTTTTATAGAAAAACAAGAACGTGTCACCCTCATGATTGAGATGAAAAATCCGTAAATAGGGGTTAAGTCAAGCCAACATTTCGACAAGCAGAGTAGTCTTCCTCAAAGCTAAAACAGCTTAGGTCCTCTTATTTTCTCTTCTATCTTCTAGCCGTTAGAAAGACAAGTCTGCTTGTCAAAATGGCGGCTTGACGCAAACCCTGTTTACAGGTTTTTCATCGCAGGTTTCCGTGTTCCCTTCCTACAGTTTTTCGGGCACTCGTAATTATGGTGACGGAGACAATACGAGATTATCATGGGCTGTTTCTGCCATACACGAGCTCACACAACCAATGGCTTGAACATGGCTGTATTCACACATGTACAAAGCAGCGAATGAGACGCCTGGCACAGGCGAGCGTGAATACATTACAGCAAGTGTTCAATGAGGAAAACCAGCCGATAAGTTTGCGTGTCTTGGCAATTGAACGTAGGCTGGGTGAGGAGATCGTAACAAAACTGTATACAGCACTCTCATCATAAAAAGCTTTCTTTATTGTTTTTAGCAAGAATTGAGCATTGAACGTCGCTGAAACGAACGTTATGGTGAGACGACTACAACGACACGGTACTTACGATCCATGGCGTAAGGTGCTTCGCTCCTAAGACATAATTCTGATGTCAATAAACATACAGATATGGCAAGCTTATTGAGCTCTCTTGCTCGATATAGGTGACTTCGATAATTTCGTGAGTGTGCTTGTCCTGATGTCTGCCAATGATTGTGGTTTCCTTAAACAATGGGGTGCAACCACAGGTGCAGCAATGAATGGCGAAAAAGCCCTATCTAGCACAGCACACATTACTCTTTCACTCACGAAGGCGATCAATCAGGCACGCTCCTTTTTTACCTGCGTTGCATCCTCCGCGTGAAAGTGGAATACGGTAGTTGACGATGTTGAAGCATTTACGTACTGTGTGGAATGCTTGATAGCGCACGGTCGTTTTGTTTTCATAACAGGACAGGTTGCACGTGACAAGGTTTTCATGTTTTCTTCATGTTTTCTTCATATATTTCTGTATATACTTTCCTTTCGTGTGGACTGAAAATTCAGTGTATAGTCAGCGCTTGTCTGTGTCTCTACTTGTGTCTCCGTTTTGAATTGGTGCTGTTCTACTTCATAATGCTAAACCAACTAACCCATAGCTTATCTTCATTAAGCTATATTTCTAGTTGCTCGGGCTTCTTCACTCCTGCCGCAGTTCATACATTTTTGCCCATTCAGCGCTTCCCTATATCTCATCTTGTGTCCCCGTGTTGAATTCGCGCTGTTCGTGTTCATAATGCTAAAACAACTAGCCCGAAGTTCACTTTATTAAGTTTGCCATAATACAGCATTGCCTTTTTAAAACTCTACTAACATAAGGGAGTGCCTTAGCTACCGGCCAGAACGTCACCAATATGTGTGTAGGAAAGACAGCGTCTCACGTGTTTCTTGTGTGCAGTGCCTAGACGAGGTGCTCTTCTGCGGTGTCAACACAGAAGGGGACCGTCTCATTGTGAGTGTGTCTCGCCTCCGTGACCACGTGGCCGAGCTGTGGCTCGTATTGTACACTCGCGATGGGAAGAAGTACTCGCTACCAACGGAAGTCACGCTCGACCGCAGTACTGGAAGCTGCTACTCTGCCGCCGGTGTCAGGCTCCAGTGCTTGGCTGCCAACCGCCGGTGGCGCGTAGCATTCAATGGACTGCTCAGGTTGGTGGCTATATGTGCTCAAATAAAAAACTGAACACATTGCAATGAGAGAAATTGCGAACTTGACTACAGCAGAAACTTCTAAGATGCAGTGCGTAAATGCAGTGCGTGGATAACGTGCGTAGGCGCGGCTTATTATATTACCAATTATTGTAGCACACTAGCCTGCGTTACCGATCCCTAACTGTTTTTTAAGGTTGTTTTGCCATTTATTTCTTTGTAATAATTGGCCTATTTTCTCGAATATTAGCTTTGTACTTGCTATCTTACACAATAAACTTTTGTGCCATGTAAGCACAAAATTTCTTCTGTGGGAGTCCTCTGGGGAAAAGCTGTTGCAAACAACTTGAGAGTGTCTGAAGGTCCTTTATGACAGTACTATACGCGGCGTACAACAAAAAGTATTTTAAATAAGTGTACATATGTTGCAATATTACCAAAGTATAATGAAGACATTTAAAAAATAAGTTTGTGTACAACAGTGGTCATTTGAAAGAGTTATTGAAATGCAAAAAGCAGTAAAACAGTGCAACTTCTTGTGATAAATAAAACTGGACTTGAGTACCATAAATATAAATACGATAACAATGAAATTGGCCAACGCTAGTCAACCTTGAGTAAAAATAGTGAAATATTAGCAAAAATAGCTGACGTCAGCATAAATTAGCCAAGCTCTGTTTTTTTATTAGCCGACACTTTCCAATGCTGACCAACAGAACCATAGTTTTGCGAACATTAACACTCTTCAACCAGCACTACCAGCCTTTATTCATCATTCAGCCAACTTAAAGCTTACATTAGGAGTCTTTGTGGGTTCATTAGTCACCACTAGCTATATCATATCATAGTTAAATCAGCTGGCAAAGGTTCATAACGTGTGACAAGATGCTGGTGGTAGTGAAAAGAGTCTGAACTGTAGGTTCTAAGCCAAGTATTTTTTTTTTTTTGCAGTTTGCACAATACTTGTATTCGGAAATTGCGATTGAAATTCACAAAAAAACTGCATGTCGCATCACCATGTGGCAAGTCTTGACACTGCGAAAACGAGCCGTAAGGAACGCTATGCGAATTCTGTGGCGGTCATGTGACACCACACATTATCCTTGCATTTATTCTAATTACTTGTACTTTTATCTCTAGTTCATCATAAGCTTATTACGGTGCAGACGGAATTCACATTGAGAAAAGGCGGTACCTTTGTGTTGTTAGTCGGACCATGCCGGTCCGTGGCACGCGGTTGCACGCTGTGTGCATGCACGGTGAACTGCAGCACGTGCGCACGAAATGCCGTTGCAATCACCTACCGCTGTCTGCAGCATGTGTGCCACGTGAGGCTGCATCGACAAAGCAGGTGAAGGTGAAATGAGCTTTACTTGGCCAAGAAGAACCCAGATTCAACATCAGCAGATGTCCACCACTATTGCTCTCTGTGCCCATGCTAGTACTGGAAGACCATAGCGCACCACCTGTTCAAAAACTTTACATAAATATGCCAGTCGCACTCCTGTGAAATAAGAGCATAGGTGGCAAGCTAGCGCCACCACCTGGCATACGTAGATTGAGTTTTAAATGCGAAGCCTTCTTAAGCGAGCTTCGGCGACTGCGAACGTATCTATCTATCTATCTATCTATCTATCTATCTATCTATCTATCTATCTATCTATCTATCTATCTATCTATCTATCTATCTATCTATCTATCTATCTATCTATCTATCTATCTATCTATCTATCTATCTATCTATCTATCTATCTATCTATCTATCTATCTATCTATCTATCTATCTATCTATCTATCTATCTATCTATCTGTCTGTCTGTCTGTCTGTCTGTCTGTCTGTCTGTCTGTCTGTCTGTCTGTCTGTCTGTCTGTCTGTCTGTCTGTCTGTCTGTCTGTCTGTCTGTCTGTCTGTCTGTCTGTCTGTCTGTCTGTCTGTCTATCTATCTATCTATCTATCTATCTATCTATCTATCTATCTATCTATCTATCTATCTATCTATCTATCTATCTATCTATCTATCTATCTATCTATCTATCTATCTATCTATCTATCTATCTATCTATCTATCTATCTATCCGCCTACGACTTTCAGCTCTCGTGACCGTTTCGACGGTAAAATTGATACCAAAATTTTATGACATAACATAACTGTATCACGAGCACAAGTGACTAGTCATAACATGAAAATCATGATATTGTAATGGACTAGTAAAAGGCAGAGAAGAGAAGGAGAGGAAGACGAAGAGGCTTGGAACGATCGGAGTGCGCTGCCGCGAACGACCATCGCTCACCTCCTGTAAATAATACCATTTCATCACAGCTCGCTGTAACAGTTGTGGTGGAGGTGCTGGGTAATCGACACCCGAAGACGGAGGTTGAACCACAAGTTCTTCGATGGAGCTGTCGCCTTGCTGGACTTCCACCGAATCAATCAGGGCTGGACATGTACCACAACGCAGATGAACACCGACCCCTCTAGACTTCTGCGCCAACCAGTTCAGCTCCACAACTGAGAGATGCTCATCCCTTCGCCAACGGCCCAGATGAAGACGTCGAGGCTTGGCTCAACCACTACAAACCGGTGAGCGCCACCAACAAATGGGATGCCGCTTCTCAGCTTTTGTACGTCACGTTCTTTCTGACGGATACTGCGTTAATGTAGTATGAGAATCGGGAGAAAACGCTAACGACGTGGGACAGATTTGTTTCTGAGATCAAAGAGCGTTTAGGCGACCTCACAACGAAAAAGAAAAGAGCAGAACAGACGCTAATGCAACGCGCTCAAGTGCCAGGTGAAACTTGCATGACCTACATTGAGGAAGTTATAAAGCTATGTAAGATCATTGACTCCAGAATGTCTGAGGAAGACAAAGTCGGGCACATTCTAAAAGGAATCGCCGAGGATGTTTACAGTTTTCTCATCGCGAAAGACACGTGGAAATTTGTCGCCGATGTCATTCGCCATTGCCGCACTTTTGAGCAACTAAAGACGATGCGCATCACGCCGAAGCTCGGCAGACTAGTCAATGGGACGACTATCCGAAGTATAGACAGCAACCAGGTGCTTGATCTCGTATCAACGATCCGGCAAAAAGTACGTGAAGAACTCGGCTTGTACGCGCAAGTGATACACCGCCCAAGCACTCATCCCCCCTACCTGCTACCAGAGTTTGAGCGAAACGTTGCTTCATTCTCCTCGCACTGAGGGGCGGAGGGCATTGAGAATTCTGATGCCACACCTCAGTATCAGCCACGTCTCTACGATAGAGGCCCTGCCTATGACGCACGATCACGACGAGGACAGCCGCATTCTTATACTCAGGACTCTCAGCCGGACTACGTCCCGCTGCGGCAAAGACAGTACCGACCCAACTACCAAGATTCAACTTACGACGAATACAATGAATTTCAGAGAGTGGCAGAAACCCGTTCTTCGCGTGATAACGAACTTCCTCGCCGACAGCAGTGGCCCAGGATTTGTTCCGATGAATACAGTATAAACTGCAACCCTCACGTGTGCTACAACTGTGGTTTCACTGGGCATATTGCCCGGTATTGCCGCCAACAACGCCGCCAATCACGAAGGATACCAGCCATGTCTTCGCCACCAAGACCCAGTGCTTCATATGACCTGCGGACAACCGATTTGTTTCCAAGGGACCGTTTTTCGCGCGAGACTTGACGCAGTCATTCGCCAGCATCCGAGTGGAGTTTGACACTACCATCCAACCGTTCTCGTCGCTCGCCGTCTTCTCTGCGTCGTTCGTCTTCTCCGCCGCCGGGCAACTAGCATCCGCGGCCAATGGAGGTGAGGTCACCGGACGGTATTTTCAAGATATACCTCTGTCTATTGTTATGCTCAAAAACAAAGTGAATGTGTTGATTGATGGAATACCGACGATGGCATTAGTCGACACCGGGGTGACTGTGTCAGTGATGAGCCTCGCCTTCAGAAACCACTTAGGTCGCAAAGTTATGTTTTTATGGGACGATACAATCCCCTTTCGTGGTGTAGGCGGCGAGTGGCTTAATCTTCTTGGTGTAGGGGTTGTCAGTGTTTCATTGGCTGGAAAAGTATTTGCATCCGAATTTCTGGTTCTATCTTGTTGTTCGCACGATGTGATTCTTGGTATAAATTTTTTGAAGCAATGCAGTGTTTCCGTCAACTGTGGTAGTGGGGAAATATCATTAAACAGTTTGTTTCTACCGTCGCTTTCCGAAGAAGACTACTGTGGTGAAGCCAGCAACACAATTAGTGTGATTGATGAAGTGATAGCACCATCTTGGTGCCTGACACCCATTCGAGTCTCTTCCACAGTGGTTGATGATGCTTGTGTTGACCTCGCAGTGGGGCCTCTACGCGAGAACTGTTCTAAGAAGGACATACTTGTGCCCTGTTCTGTTATGTGCATGACAAAAGGAGTAGCAGCATTGTGGGCGCCGAACTGTTCTGCCACGCCGGTTGTGCTTGCTCGCGGGATGAAGATAGCTCTTTTCAATGAAGCCTCATGCAGCTCGATAGCAGCACTAGCTACGCACCTCACCACCTCTTCTTCTCCTTGTGTTATTCGGCATAATGAAGATCTAGTGCTCGGTATGATCAGCAACACTCTCAGTACGACGGAACAGCAAGCGCTGGTGCAGGTCCTTTCCCGGCATGTTGCTACTTTCGGCTTCAAGTATAGAGATGCACCCCTTCAGTTACCCTCATCCCGTGCTCGTCACAGAATAGACACCGACTCTGCACACGCCATCCGCCAAAGGCCCTACCGAGTGTCATCCTCTGAGCGCAAAATTATCGCCGAACAAGAAAAGAACATGCTGAACAAAGGTGTCGGGCAAGAGTCGTCCAGCCCGTGGGCAGCCCCGGTAACTCTTGTCAGTAAAAAGGATGGTTCCTTGAGGTTCTACGTAGATTACAGGTGTATAAACACTGTGATGAAGAAATATGTATATCCCATACTGCAGACTGATGACGTCATAGATTGCTTGCATGCCG